CCGGTCGTGCTCCTAGCTGTGCGGGGTTGGTGGGCTGGCAGGGCCCGGCTGAGGAGCGCAGCCCGGCCCGGCGCCTGGCCTGGGGCCTCATCTACCGCCGGGCTGGAGCCGACGGGCACTACGCGGAGCCGCTTTATGTCCGCCTGGCTGCGGCCTGGCCTTGTCGGGTTTGTCGCCTCACTTGCTCGGCGCCCGCACGTCGGTCGGGGCTGTCTCGGAGCTGTGACATGCGCCCCGGCGCACAAGCCGCTTTCGTGCACTGCTTGCCCAGGGCTTGAAAAGCCAGCGCTCCGTCGGCGCTGATGTCCTTTCTCAAGACACTTGTTTCCCATACCACGGGTAAAAATAAACCATCTAACTTGTACAAAATTATATCACCTCTTTGGCTGAACTGTACCTTCTCACAGGCTGCTTATTGATCATTTATATTTGCACAGAGTGTGCAGTAGGAGCCTAATGCAGCTGGTTTAGCTGTAGTACAGCATAGGTTGTTTCATAAACAGAGCAGAGGTAGGAGAGAACTTTGTAAAGCCATGTAATGCTAAAATTGAGTCCTACTTGCTATGTTTTACCATTGCCCAGAAGAAAATACTGATGTTAATACTGGGTCTTTCTTTTTTTAGAAGTGCAACTTCACACAAAACTATCTGTGCTTCAAGGCAAAAAACCCCCAAACAAACCAAAACAAACCCCACCTAGACATTGCAGTCCTGTCATTTTCACTTTTTTCATTCCTGGTAGTTATCCTTAGTCCTGGCTGTTTTCCCATGCCCTGTTTTGCAGAAAAGATTGCTTCAGTTCTCTTGTGTTTTGTCTTGCTAGACTAATCAAGCTTATTCGTTTAGTCTGCTTTTATGGTATGGGTCCTTCAACTTCCTGAGACTCTGTAGAAGCATCTGTGTCTGGTGGATGGTAATTCTGTGACAAGAAAATGATCCCAAATCAGGGAGAAGAGCCTTACCTGAGGTGTGTGTGAAGTATGGATCTAAGCTACTGGGGTCTCCTGCAGGAAGGGTACAGGAGAGCACAAATGCTGTTAGTGCTCTCGAGTGAGCCTTGGATGCAGAAAAGTGTAGGAACTTTTTGTTCCAGCTTATGGAAGTTCTTTCCACTGTAGAAAAGATGATCTTTTAGTCCACCATGAATTTATTTTGACATTGATCACTTTGGTCTTTGTTTTGCCAGTTCTCTTTGCTGTTCTGACATTTCTTTGTATTGCCATACATTCCACATGCAGCTCACTAGTGTCTTATTTTTACCGAAGTGTTTCTCGTGTAGAACCTTAAACACCATCAACATTCAGCTGAGTAGTCTGTTTAATCTCAAAGGGTAGTCTAAGTGGTCAGATGGCACAATAAGAATACTGATTTGCATCATTTTGTGGTGTATTTTTCGTATGCAACATGGAAAAATAAGTTTTCAGTCAGAATTAAGGTCATACCTTTTTATATTGAATAATGGTTCTAAACTTGATGGAGGTCTCTTGAATTTTTGGCTTTATTATAGTGACTAACTTCCAAAATACTGGACTTGATGCTTCTTAAGAAACAGCATGTAGGGATTTTTTGGTCCCTACTATTGTAGTTTTTCCAGTTAAAGTTGAATGGAAGATTGTTAACCAGGTGCCATGGCTCTATACGTTTGTGTGCTAGCTGAATCAGAACTTATGGCACTGACTGCTTGCTTTATTTAAAGATAAAACACATCCTTTTTTAATTCTGCCTGTCAAGATAAAAGATTAAACTGGTTTTAGCAATGCAGCCCCTTTTCTATGGCAAATGAGCCAACTATACCAAAATAGAATTGAGACTAAGAGTAGATGATTTACAGGAAAGCTACAGAGTGTGCGATGCAACTGAAGAGACAAATGAATTGACATTTTGAGTAAAAAAAAAAATAAAAGTACCATGACTAAGTATGGCTAACGAAATATGTTTTGTGTTCTTTTGCCTAGTACTCGCGTAAGGATGCCTTAAGAAGATAACAATGGATAAATACATTAAAGTGCGGAAGATTGGAGAAGGATCCTTTGGGAAGGCAATTCTTGTCAAAGCTAAAGAAAATGGCCAACAGTATGTTATTAAAGAAATAAACATCTCTAAGGTGAGTGATTATTAGTAATTACCGATCCATTCTTTTAGTACTTCTGTTCTCAAAAATCATTATTTTCCTTCTGAAGATGACGAATAAGGAGAGAGAAGAATCAAGGAGAGAAGTTGCTGTATTGGCTAACATGAAACATCCAAATATTGTCCTGTATAGGGAGTCGTTTGAAGGTAAGATTAATTAATGCAGTAAAACCTGAAGTGATGATAGGGAGTGTCTGTGCACTACTTATTGCATTAGTTTAAAAGTCAGTATGTTTTCTCTCCTTAATCACTCTTTTTCATACTTTTATTACTTACTTCAGTTCTTTTGGGTTCTATTTTTTTTAATTCCCCTGCACATTTAAAAATAATAGTAATAAAAAGAAAAGTGCAACAATTAAACAGAAATGTTCATGTGTCTGTCTTACATGCATCAGTTTCGGTTGATGTTTAAATGAAAGGGTGGTATACTCTTGTTTCTCCAGAATGTAAGTCTCTTTGAATACTTGTGTATACCCTAAGGACTTGAATGCTTGTGTATGTTAAATGTGAGTATGGTGGAAACTGGATATTTATAATCTAGGAAGAGGAATTTTATCTCAGAGTCTGTCACCTTAGAATGCAGTCTTCAGTATCATTACTTTCAGAGCTGGACAAATAGATGGGACTGTTTACTTCATCAAGCTGTGAAGGAAGGAGAAATATAATTCCAGATTGTTTTCACAGTGAATGTCTTGGGGAAATAAGCAGAACAGATAGACTCTTGGAATCTTTTTATCATATAGGTTAAAATACTATTAAAATCCCTAAATATTGTTTGAGATAGTGTTTAGGGACCCTGTTCTCTTCTCATTTCCTTCCTTTCTGCAGACTCATATGTCTTTTGGTTGGGGGGCTTTTATTTTTTCTATTCATTAAATAAGAATTTTGTGCCATAGTCATACTGCACAGCCATGGCCTTCTAGTTTATAAATCCATGCTTCTGTCTTCACTGTAATAGAGGCCTGTTCTTTCAAGACTGCTCTTTTTCTTCTCGCAAGGTAGATCCTGTAATCCGTGGTTCACAAGACTTGATGTTGCACCCTTATTGCTAAAGCACATTGACTTTGAATATACTGGTTTGGTTTATAAAAGAGAATTATTTCAGCAACAGGTCTGCCAGAAATCTGGACTCCTGGGATCACCTTTTAAAATAATACCAGTGATAAAGCCTAGCCAAGATACATACAGCTGTAAGCACAAAAGAAAAATCCTGGGTTTGATGTTTTGAAAGACAGATTTCAGAAGCATTCTGCAGGAGTGACGTTTATGCGACTTAGATGATTTAATTAATTTTGTCTCTGTTTAGTTTTTTGAGTGCTATGACTAACTCTTTCATGAAATCAGACTTTTTCTTTTAAGCAGCATGTGATTGATTTTATGCATATATTCAGCTCTTCTCTAAATCATGCTTAATACGTGAGTAGTGTGGTTACTGTGTGTTTGGTAACTTGCAATTTGCTTCTGCCTAATCTCTTTTTTCATCAGTAACTGTAAAAGATTGCATTGGGGAACAGAACTGTAACTTTGTACGAAATTCGTATTACATATGTTCATAACTTGTAGTGGAAACTTGCACAGAATTTTTTGAAGTTCCCACATTTCATTCAAAAATGAGAAAATAATTGTTTCCGTCTGTCATTGCCTGTTGGAAGTTTTATTACTGTTTTTCAGTCTCTGAAATGAACTGTATGTCTTGCACTTAGTGAGTAGTACCCTATCCAGGTAAAACTCCAAGGAAGAATTAGAGAAAGAGGGGCAACTACCTAAATTAGAATTTAAGATCTCTGTTTTTTTGGGTAGGGGATCTAAAGGATGTTTGAAAGCAGGTTGAAGAATGGGTTTATATTACATCCTTAAAGTGACACCTTTAATTTCATAGTG